ACACTGTTTGCTTTCATAAATGAACAGTGGCAAAGCTGCCACCTCCTAAAAACACCAGTTTTATGGCCTACAGACGAGCCCTTGCGTGTGCTGCCCACTCCTCGCCTACCCTGGGAGGTCTCCATCTCTCTCCTCGCTTAACCTGGGAGGTCTCCATCTCTGGACAGGAGACATCTGCTGTTGAGCGATAATCCCCCCAGCCCACGGGCCTGGGCTCTTGGCCACGAAGCCTCTGAAGGCAGAGAGCACCGGGGAGCTGAAAGGCAGCTGCCCACGTGCTGGTAACCCCATCCTCTACGGTCACGTAGGAAGAGAAAGCAACAACACTCTCCTACCTCCATCAGAATGTCCTTCAGCAGCATCTGCCACCCAGCAGAACAAGCCAGCTGCAGACAACCAGCAACCCCACAATAATCTAGCCCATGAGGTGCAGAAGATTAGAATAAAGGTTTCCAACACTAAACATTTTCAAAGGCACGCGATGAAAGCGGGCACTCAAATGTGACCTGTTGGGAGCCCAACAAGGAACATGCCACCCTGCAGAGGGGCCYGTGTATGAAAAGCCTAGGGGAGATAAGTTGCCAAGAGCCTGGGTTGCAAGAGGTGCACCTGTCTCAGAAATGACAGGTTCTTTTAAAATTTTTAAAATTTTAAAATTTTAAAATTACCTCAATGTCCCTTCCCCAAAACAACTGATTTTACATGAATTCTAGGTAGCATTCAGAAAAGCGTCAGCTCATCCCAGAAAGCATCAAGGGGAGATGAGGGATTTTAAAGCAACTGAAAACACTTGGTATTTTATAATAGCTTATAAATAAATAAATAATGAATGATTCTGTAAGGGCAAGCCTTCCAAAGCATAACAGCTTGCTCTAATTAACAACATCTTTTTCCCCTCGGCTATTTAGAAAATGGCCAATAAAAACAAACAAAACAAAAGAAATCCCAGACCTCATAAAACATTAATTACCTGTTGACCCAAACTCAACAATTCTTAGGAAGATGCCTTTTTTTTTTTTTTTTTTTTTTTTGAAAACATAGCTTGGTTTCAGTGCGTGATGCTACTATTCCATTGAGCACCCACACTGCTTTTTGCGAGCCAAGATGCTTCTTCCCCATTATTGGCTTTAATCAATAATCAGCATAAATTTTCATGGATCAGATTTTTCTTCTTGCTTTTATTTGGCTAAATAGCATTCTGCAAAAATCACAATTTGATCCCATAAAATACCAGCGACCCAGCCCTAAGTCCCTCGAATTTCAGTGATGAATTATTTCAGCTTTCCATGAGGACATATAGAGTAACAGTGTGGAAAAATCTGAATTTCTTGTGTGATAGTCATTACTGAAATGATTTCTCTAGCACGACAAGCTTATAGAAAGCGCCTTGCTGCATGTTTCTAAGCTGCACGTACACATACGATCATCATCACTGACTACATGAAAGCGCGTGGGGGCTGTGAGCACGAGAAGCATGTGGACATTCAGACCATTACGGGACAACCACCGCTAACCAAATCCTATAATCAGCTTGCTTCACACACTAACAGTAGGAAATATTCTAGAGTTACTATCAGGTCCTGAGTATTCAGCCGTAACCAGTATTTCAAGTGTTTCCTTTAGCCTCAAATTTTCTTAAGTGATCCTGCAGAATATATTTATATGTATTTTTACATATCTCAAACATCTATGTTTAAAATGTTCTATTTTACTAACCTACAAACTGTATTATAGCTACAATGTCACCTGGAGAGAAAGAAAAACACCTCAACTTTTATTTCAAGTATTCTTTMAAGTTATCACTCGCTATTTAAATTCTTTGAAGATCCTGAGACAAACACTTGTTCTGATGCAAGAGGGGGAACAAAAAGAACCAAACCAGCTCACTGAATAGCATGGCCATTTCTTTCTTCTGCTCAAGTCCAGCAGTTCAAGCCTAGGGAGGGACAAGAGTTTCCAGAAAGACAACTCAAGCCTCCCTTGTGTGGAAGGAGCAGCCACCAAACCCAGCAGCTGCTGGTAGCTGAAGTGTCTTCTCTGAAGTGTCACGTCCTCAGGAGGAGTGAGGACTTTTCTCACAACCTCTTTTCGCTGCACGAAGGGAACAAGCAAGCAAGGGAAGCCAGGTAGTGCTTTATTAACTCCCAAGAAGACAGATATGGATTGCATATGACTCTGGAAAACATCTTCCTTGTTAAAATCCTGGCGTTATAAACAAGAGAACTCATTCTTCGTAATTAACCGGACACCACTCCTTCATCAAAAGATTTTGGCATGGAACAGATTTCCTTTACAGGTAAATTATAATAGTTCATTTCAGCAGCTTATAAAACTATGACTATAGTACTCAAATATATTGCTCGTATTTGTGACTTTATAAAAAAAATAGCTTGAGTTAACACTTTCCTAAGTCTTCAGAAAAAATCCAGATAGACATCAGCTCTTGATTGAGAACTTCAGAAGGATGAGCAAATTAATTTGCTTGAAATTATCAAAAGGCTTCATTTATCAATAGACTGAGTCCCTTAAAAATGTGTAAGTCTTTAAAAACAATAATAATCCCAAGAAAATCTACACTAAAGTGCGAGCACCTTTCCCTCCACCCTGCAACCGTGTGTGCACACAGTCAGTGACAACCACCAGAAGCATCTCAGCAACATTAGTGACACCGTTTGCAGGACTGGCCGTGAAGGTAAATGCACAACTGCTTGCAACATCTGTCCAAATTAAATTACCATTAAACTAGAGTTGCAGCCAGCCTAAGCCTGTCAGACCATGAGAACAGAAGACGTATTTACAAGCCGAAGGAGCTGCCCTACTGCTCTGTGGGGGCTGCGGAGACCCTGGGAGCACCCCCAGGTTGAACGCAGAAGCGACAGGTTGGCCTGCGGTGCCAGAGCAGCTCATCCAGCAGGGCCTGCCTGACTGCGGCCTACTAAATGTGCTGCTCTGGTACAACACAAAGCACCTCGGAAGGGCAGGAACTTCTGGAAGCACCACAGGCAGTTCTTTCTGAGGGAGTCCCTTGGTACTGGACTTGCTCGCCTCCGGCAGCAGCGCTCAAGCTCGTCCCTAATCACATAAAAAAATGGGCCCCTCAATGCATTACCTCCAAGACAGGAACCCAGGGGTTTAAACTAATGAACAAGTGATTTTCAGGCTTGACCAATTTTTTCTTCAGTCAAAAATTTTGTTGATGTTGTTGTTTTGTTCAATTGCAAGGGTCCCTCCTTGAGCAAAGACAAGGCAGCGCTTTTCTTGGGCATTTGTCATTGCCCAGGCGTGGGGGACAGGACTTTAGATTGAAGTCTCCAGCGCCCCAAGGAGTCRCTAGTTCCCCAGCGACTCCTGGTTTGAGGGATGAGAACTTCAGCTCGAGTTTCACACTCCAGGACGTGGCAGGGAAGCTGAAGAGAAGCCCGTGCCCTAGCTCACTGCCTCCTCAGGTGTGCCAGCGCGACGCTAAGCCAGCTCTCCGACCTAACTGGGCCTAAAAAATAACCCCTACATTGAGTTTAAGCCATGGGCCAGCCTGCTGAGGACGTGGCAGGGGTGTGGGGTGGTGAAACAGGGTGCAGCAATGCCCCGGTTTGGTTTTGTCACTCACACTCCCATAGCATGAACCACCACCTTAGCGTTCACTGCAGGGCAGCTCCGAGAGGCTTTTGGAAGAGGTACATGATGTTTGGAGAGACATGAAGCACATGATGTTTTGGACACGTGCTACATAAGCAGGGAAACCACACTGGGTAGCCTCTAATCCACTCCTAGACATCACTTGGCAAAAAGTGTTTTCAAAAGTGCCAACAATACACCAGTTGATCAAATAGATCTTACACTATTTTCTTCCATTTTTATATAAAGGAGATCTGAAAATGTCCTCATGTTTGTGGGAGAAAAAACAGCCAACTAAAAAAAAACCCACAGAATCACACGATTTCSTAAATAACAGCAAATCAAAGCATATTTGAGAGCAACTTAGTCTCATAAAGACCACCACATATGTAAAGCCCAAAGGCAATGAAGAATCAGAGGGAAACTAACTCCAACACAAAGAGATATAACTCACAAGACCGAAGATTTAACCACTTTTTTTCTGTCCGTAAAGAGCTTTTCATTTCCTTGAGGAGAGAGCAACTCATATTCAATGAGTGGATCGATTTTGGCAATTCAGGTTTTGTGCCCTTAAAATGATAAGAAAAATAATAAATCTTTGGGAAGTTTCCACTTTACTGTTACAGTTAGGATCATGTTCTGACGGGTTCCTGGGATAAACGTATCACTTAGTGCTACACGGATTTCTGCACATTGCAGACTAAACTTCCTAACTTACAAATAAGTGTCGGGTTGTTTCCAGTTTACAATGGTAAAAAACAAAGACTTCACAATGTGTGTAAATGGGAGGTAAATGTATTTTTAAAAACAGAATAAAAAGCTGCATGTTAAAAACTGGGTCACAGACTAATAAATACATACATCAAAGACATGAAGTTTTCAGCAGCTGGTTTTAAAGAGCAAGGAAGTGGGGAAAAACTAGCTGTCCAGGCTCCATTCTGGCTTTGTGGTCTATATGGCAGAAATATTCAAAAAGAAGTTAACAGAGGAGCAGAATCAACCTTGCAACCTATTTTTGTTTAAAAAAAAATAGGTTACTTCCTGAAAGTGTGGTGTAAAACCTAATGTAACTTACATTTTTTTTCCATGCACTTGATGATACTGAATTTAAAAAAGGAAATTATTAATTTAACCCAGAAAAAAAAAAGTACTGTAAGGACAGCCTTACTGCCAACTTCGTACAGTAGAAGCATTTCTAGAAATACACCAAAAATGACTTTTCCATAACAAAATATAGAATTACGTATCAGATCATCATCAGGTTTCAATACTTAGGCAAAACAGAAATATGTACAAGTTAAGTTAAAAAAAAAAGGAAAAGAGAGAGAGAGAGAGAGAGAGAGAGAGAGAGAGAGAGAGAAATGAAATCAAATTAAAAAATAATAAAAAAAACAGTAAAAAGATGTTTTGTCTGCTGTAAAGATGGCCAGAAAGGGATGCTGGACACCAGGATTTCCAGAACAGCCTCCTTTCCAAAGTGATGTGCAGTCTGTGAATTAGACAGTAAGAGAAAACTGATCCTGCTCTATAGGTTTCTCCACCCAGGCTCCAAGTCCTGCCTTCAGGAACGCCTTGAACAAACACTCTTTGGCAGTTTGATACTCAGCGGCTCCTTGCTTCGTGTCGTGGTACAGGTTAGGCTTGGGGATCTTCGAGCGTAAGCTGGATGAAAGCTGTGGGGATCAAGAAACAAAATCATGTGAGAGAGAAATCCTGTTTTTTTTTTTTTTTTTTTGTTCCCTGGATCATCAGCTTGCTTTGATAGAAGAAATCTAGACATCGATAAAGCACCTGATACTGATTCTTCCTGGTATCTTGCCTTCCTAAAAGGGCACAATGAAGTCCCACTTCAACTAAAATCAAACATATTGGGATCATCTTCCCAAATAAATTAAAATGATAAGCAAAGGAGTTAACAACCTTTGCTTCCTTACTAGTAACAGGAATTTCTAGATACTTGCCTACATCGGGGACTGAATATTATACAATTAAAAAATAAGCCAACCAAAGACATCATCCTTTTTCACTGCTCCACGGCGCGACACCTAACACCAGGTAACACCAAGCTCCTAACAGGCTCGGAAAGTGCTTTTTGGGCACAGAAAGCAGCACGCCGGGCAGTATTTTGTTGCAAACAGAGCTGAAGCAGAAAGCCTTGCAGCTGTGGTACCTTAGCGTGGACGCGCACCCAGCGGCTGTACAGAGCATGCTTGCAAAGGCGGGACGCGCGGCCCAGCTCATCCTTGCCGGTCGTGGCGTTGATAACTTCCAGGCCAGTGTCTCCTACTGTCCAGTTGACGCTGAAGTTTGGTGCTTTCCCTGGCTGACGGGCTTCTGCATTGCTGATACCTAAAAGAAAAGGATTAGTCGATGACAACAATGTCTATGAACTCCTGACTGCTCTTTTTAATGGGGAATAGGTCAAGCATCAGTGTTACTGGAAACTTATTGCTAGGCAGTCTTAGAAGCAATTCTTCTATTATGACAGCCTTCTCCTATTTATTATGAGGATGCACTCTTACATAATTTCAGGGATTTTGCCATGCAAACTGCCTTCTCATGGGACCAGGACGCTCATTCATTCAGCAGTTCCTAACAGAGCACGGCCAGAGCTCTGGGAAAACCTCCTTGGGCTTGACAGGGAGAAATTAGGCTGAGATGGGCAGCAAGGAGCTCCACACAGAAAGCAATATTGAGTCTTGCCATGTGAGAGCCTCTCAGGAGGCTCTGRCTTAGCTGATAGGACAAAGAAATGAGCCAGGGATCGAACTGCAGATAAGCATGAGATGAAGTTGCTCTGTTCCTGCCCARAAAGCACTGATCTCAAAACACACTAGGTAATGGCACTAGCCAAATACAGGAAAGAGCAGATTTAACAAAGTTTTGCCAGTTGTAATATCCTAAACATTTTCTTTTCCCTGAATTGYTGTGGCAGTTCAGGTATGTGCTTAAATTCATTCCAAATGAATAAAGATCCCATCACAGTTCCCATAAAAATATGAATCCTGGCAATGCCTTAACATACGTAATTATAATTTGGCCAATAAATTCCCACTGCAGCTTGAACTGGAGACAKCATACATATTTAGAAGTGTCCAAAATGTGCTTTTGCAATTTTTTTTCCTTCATAAGAAATAGTGAGGCCTGTTACTTCACAAACCAAGGTGGGAGCATGTCAACATTTCATTTGCTTTAGAGTGACACTGATTTTAAATGAATTTCATTAAAAGCTTCCCATCTATTGCTAGAAAAGTCTGACTGCCTTCAAAGGACTGTCTTGAAAACACAGAAAAGTAACAACTAGGAAGTGGAAAAATCAAAGAATTTCATTTTTTCCTAGAAATTCATTTCTTCCTTTCCCTTGTGTTTGCAGACATTTGGGTGCACAGTGGTTACTACAGGTTATTTTTGTCACAGAACTTCTAACTCATTCAGCATTCATCAAGAGGCAAGGACAGTCTGGTCTTGCAGAGTAGGTTCTATATCAAACCTGCTGCAGCCTTTTTGTGATCCATTTGCTGGGCAAAGTGCCAAGCTTTGATGCAAGCCTCAGTGCCCAAGAGGCAAGCTGGGAACCAGCAATGCTCAATTCTGTCTTGATATTTCTTCACCTATTTCTGATCTCTCCTTACAGACTGCAAAAGAATGAGCCCTTGGCAGGGGATGTGACCTACTTGGCCATTCCTTGGCACAGGGCATTTCCCACTGATGCTGAAGCATCTCCTTCTGCTTTCCAGACCAGCAACGATGCTGCGGGTGCCCAAGTTAGACAAAGCAAACTGCAACCTTAGCAGCTTGGGCAAAAGAGTAAAACCAGCAGACGCTCGAATCTTTCAGCTTTAACCTGGCTAGGCTACAATTATCTGCCCGCTTAACCTACCTGTGAAGCTTTGCCCGCTCAGGCCTAAAATGTCCAAAAATGTTAATCTGCTGGACCCAAGTTTTAGGAGAAAAATCCAGGCTACTTTGCTCCAGTGTGAAATTTTACAGCACCTCTCAAATACCATTTCATCTATGGAGAAGCGAGGCAACTGCAACTGTGATCCCAGTGTGAAAAGAGGCCTGGAGGATGTTGTCTGGAGCAGCATTAGTGCCCCAGAGCCCTCCGGGGCCACGCGCTATGTGGCCACCATGCTGTGCCTGAGGATCACGACTCGTGCTATCACCCACAGGCAACATAGCTCCCTGAAAACCTCAGGGTTATAAATTGAAAACCTAACRGGTTATAAATCAGGAACCTGACCTCTTCAAGCAACTCTCAAAAGGCACAGAGAATTTCCATGAAGGTTCACAGAAAGGACCCATCTGTTGAAGATGCTGGAGTGACAATACTCTTCACCCACAACCCATTTATGAAAACTACTGAGGGAAGGGGGTTAAAATTTGCTGCTGTAACACAAGTGGGTTGGTCTTACTTTTTTAACTTTTTTAACTTTAACTTAAAAAAATCTCTCTGTGCTTACCTTGGCTTTCGTTTTATACACTACTGAAGAAGTAAAGTGATCAGATATTATTCATGAAGCACTGCCAAAGAGCTTTTTTCCCCCCTTTAAAGACCACTCATTCCATTCCAGAAAATCAGTTGCCTTAATTTTTTCTTTGGTGAATTCCTCTATTTCAGTAAATAATAGTTTACACCTAGTATAGRGCTTGTTCGCATGGTGAATGCCACAGATGGGATTTGCCAACAAAGACAAGGAAGCTGGACACTCAAGTACATGTTACATTTCCATGGCAAATATATAATCACATTCTTTAGGTTATTTTGCTGTATTAATTAAAAAAGTGCTTAGATGGACTCAATTTCAAATAAGCTTAAATACCACCACCTTGTTCAGTTGCTTGGTTATATGTCTAAATCTTGGAGAGATGCTACAGGAGTCTCTGAAGGCAGAGAGGCCCAAAGGCAGCCCAAACAGGCAATAAAGGTCATCTCAACAGAAAAGCATCTTCTGATGACACTTAAGATGACACTTAAGGGGGATCATAACTTCTCCCTCAAAATCTAAATGTGATCACAGCATGAAGGTGATACTAGTAAACTAAGAAAAAAATCGGACAGAAAGGAAAATATTTTATCCTCCTTTGGAAACAGGTGTAGCCTCAGTATTTCAAGAACACCACTCAGAATTTGTTTGTGGATATTATTATAATTGGGTCTAACACATGAAAGCAAAGGTCACAGCTTCCTTGTTCCCGTGCTTACAAAAATAATCCAGGCTGATAATTTTTTGAGGACAGAGCCCATAGAAAAATTTCATTTGAAAAGAGAAAGAGGGCTGAAAAACACAAACGCGAACAGAAGGGTTAGATACCATGGAAACTGCCAAAATCACCAAAGGCTCTGTTGAAAGACATATTTTTGTATGAAAAAAAAAAAAGATAACGCAGGCCGCAGTTTTCCAGAAGAGGGTTGATGCATGTTCATGAGATGTCTTTACAAGGTCCTACATTGATGCCTGACATTTTGTGCCTAACCCTGACCTGAATGACTCCCCAGCTCTTGTAGTGCAGCCCTGGTGGAGGTGGCTCCTCCAGCTTACAAGGTCATGGCTGCAACCTCAAAATCCTTTCCCGTTATAATTTATAGGCACATCAGTCACCACAATAAATGCTTCTTCTGCGCATTTTCCTAGCAAAATATGAGATAAAAGGAGTGACAAGAGGGTGCCTTCCCCCCGTGAGGCCATGGTACCAAATTCAGAACAGGGGTATGCTCAGTTCCCCTAAATATTGGTGAAAAAAGGTCCTATCAGACCTCTACAAGGTACCTACACACTTTGAGATCCAAAGTGCAAATATAGCCTGACTTCCAAATTAAAGCCCACAAATACTTTGGAGTACAATAAGGTGCTCCTACAGCATTTTTGAGCTGTTTGAGTCACTGGGCAATAAAACAGCAGGTGAAATTTATTTTAGATAGATATAAGGAAGTACACATCAGGCAAGAAAAGAAAAACATCAATTTTACATAAAAAGTGATGAACTTGGAGCTGGCCACGAGTGTTTAGGTATCAGATAGTGGTTTCTAATACTCAGTTCTATCAAAATGCCAGGTTAATGATCATTAAAATTATTTTAAAAAGTTAAGCATTTAAAAATTAAAAAAGCAAAGGAAATATTAGAAATAATTATTTAAAGGAATACGGAACAAAAGAGAACATTACAATGCCACCACAGAAACCAATACTGCTGCCTTGTTTTGCTTTCTAGGGCCTGCACAGTTCTAACTCAAAAAGACTATGGAAAAACAGTCTTTGGCTTCCATACAAGACACCTTGTGCACAACAAAGTGCACAAAGACTTTATGTGGGGAAAAAAAAAAAGAAAACTACTGAAAACATAGGAGTCTAGAAAATTGAACAACACAATGTGAATGATATGGGAAAACTGCCTATTGCTCCTTTTGAGCAAAGGATTAAGGAACATCTAATTATATCAGCAGAAAAGAAATTCCACTGCACATGTCTTCAGACATCCTATGGAGCACCTCAGTGAAGACACTTGAATGCTAAGGAGTTCATARCAGTCCAACAAGCATATACAGGAGTTCAGGCGTGCAAGATTCATTAAGATCTACRGGTGAAAGATCCACGTTACTCCCGCTGTTCTCTGGAAGCATCTCTACAGGCTTACCATTTGTTTCTATTTTTCACCACGTAACTAGTGGTGAGAGAGTAGTACTAGCCTAGATAGGCCTTACCTCAGTCTTACTTAAACAGTTTTTATGCTGGTGATGGGTAATTGGCACATAGGATGTCGCTCCAGGATGTTTCATCCAAGAAACAAAAGGGAGAAGGACCATGCCAGTAGCACTAGGAACTGGTCATAACCCCCAACAACTTTATTTCTGACAACATACCAGTAAGAAACAGGACACTGCAGGCAGAAGAAACTGTATTAACTGACTAGACCTCAAAAAAGGGAGAAGTTAGACTGTGTTAAATGTTTTAATCAAAGGTAAGGAAAAATGCACTGTCCAGACAAGCAGAGACTACTGCTTGTTTCTGCTTAGCAGCCTTCCTGGAAAGAAGGGAATGATGGACACCAGCAATGGGAACACTAAGACAGACATTTAACGAACTTCTCCTCATACTAATTGCCTGTGCTATAGAAAAGCTTTCCTTTTTATATAAAAACTTCTTCTATCACGGATTTTCAAGGGCTCATTTTCTAAATTTGCCAAGTTCTGTTCCTGTATTTTTTCTGTGCTCAGAAACATGTTCGTGCCAATCTCCACCAATGACTCCCAAAAGAATCTGTGCAGGATGTCCTGCATACCAGTATTTTCCTGTCTGCTGATTTACCAATCACACTTTCAAAACTTAATCCAAAAAAGGTCCCTTTTCAGATTACTCTAAAAATTCAGAAGAATACTACCTGTCCTCTCTCAGACTGAAAAGTCCTCTCTTTTTTTTTTTTTGTTTGGTGAAACTTATGATCTCTCTGTACTATGGATTCTCAGGAGCTGATCTTGGGCAGGACTTTTCTGCCAACATACGGGTTTCCTGCATTCATTAATTGCACAGCAGCTGCTTTGCATGTGCATATTTAACTTATTTAGCTTATTAAAAAGAAAAATAAAAGAAAAAAAGAGGAAGTATAGGCAGAAAATCCTTTATAGAGAAAGAATATTTGATGCAAAGTCAATTTTGACAGGACAATAGATAACAATAACTCAGCCTGACCTTAACTCAGTGTAACTGTCCCTGCAGACATAAAAATAATCTTAGAAGAGCAAAAAAGAAAACTCAGTCTTTAGTGGTTTCTCTGATAAATAGGTGAAACAGTGGGGAAAGGCAAAATATCATAAATAAACAGACATTATTTCATTTCATCTCCCTATTAGAAATAAGCTATTATTACAGAATTGCCTATATAGGATCAGGAGCAATGAAGATTTGGTGCTTCAACAGTATTTCCAAATAGGAACCTCCCGTACAAGGTGCAAAAGAAAGAGTGAACCTGTAGCAACAAAAGTTGCYCACGTGAATCCACTAGCAGGAATAAGAATACAGACTTTGAAGCCTAATCCTCTCAGTAAAAAACAAACAAACCCCACCAAACTTTTAAAACAGACAATACTATTTCACATCAAAGAGATGAAGACATTTTTTCAGCTTTGACTTTTAAGAAGTCAAGGTGCCATCAAATGCTCTGAAAACAACACAGAACTTGCCCTACGCAAGCTGCTATTTTGAAGAATTGATAAAAATTTCTCCCAACTATGCTGCTAATCTCCTGCTATGCTGATAAACAAGTTGTATATGTGGAATTACAACTACTGTAACTCTTTCTTACACATTAATACATGGACAGATCCATCACCTAACATTTTAGCGTGTCCTGGGTTCCGTGCATCCTTATTGTACTTTCTTTTCTAAAGACTTGCTGGCTGTTTGATATTCCTCCTCCCCCCTCCCTACATCTATTTGTAAAATTCATGTCATACTTTATACATGCTTTAAAATACTGTATTTATCCCCCTGGAAAATAAACACACACACGTCAGAAGCCAAGCTCTACAGAACAAAGCAGTGCACACAATGATAAGGAGGATAAGAGAGTTGGGTTTTGAAACTKCCATATTACTGTAACTAGTAGTTTTATTTTAAAGAGCTTTCCTTTAGGTCATGGCTCAACTARAAGAGAAGATCTGCCAATTCAAATGCTGCCTTTCTTCTTCTCCCCACTGGTTTCCAAAACCATCACAAAACTGAAGAAGAGAACTTATAGGCTCCATAGCAGCTGCAGAAGACACCCGCCACCTGCACCTGCTGGGGATTGCTGTCTTGGTGTTGGTCAGAGACATTTAATGCTCTGTGAAAACCTTCCTAAAGGATGTGCCACCTTCTCTGAAGGCAGCATTAAACTACCAAGTAGAAATGAAAGTATTACAATAATTGGTCATGCAAACAAGTTGGGTGCCATGCTAATTASAGCCAAAGCTGCATCCATCAGAAATTGAGGACAGAAAGGAAAGACAACCARCTGCAGCCGAGAAGTTCTCTCCATCCATTTTCAGTTGSCTATTGAGCTAGAAATTGTGACTCAAATGTATGTATCTTAGGGCACTGCTAAATGATGCAGCCGTTCAACAAATATCTGCAAGGGCAAGAGAAGAAACGGTGACATCTAAAGCTGTTCTGTATTGGGGAAGTGATTTTTCTAAGCCCAGGCTTTCAACCTGCCTCATGTGTCACTAGCACACATTCCAGACAGCAATTACATGAAACCACATAAAAAGGATGACACCCCAATTCTTTCTGGGACCTCCTAACTCATGAAGACTCCTTGCCCTCTGTGCTTCTGACTGAACATCTGATTTAAGTTTGGACCGTRGCTTCTGTGTTGTAACCACAAAGCAATTTACTCACAGTACATAATTTGCAAGGTTTTTGAGAAGTGCAAAATCACAATGCTACTGGAACAGACTTAGTTACCCGTACGGCCTTCTCCATTAGATACTTGCCACTAAGTAAAGGTCTGTTGAGTGTATAAAGAGGTGGTAGATCTTCTATCTCTGCTATCCTCTGGTATACGGCTCTGGATAGATGATCCCCATGATATAAACTCCCCAAGATGATGCTAGAGAAGTAAATTGGCTCCACAAAGAGGCTAAGTAAGGCTCCTTGAATACCCAATACGTTCCACCTAAGAGGGAGGGAGAAACAAAACAAAAAAAAAACAAAAAAACACTTTCTTTTTAATGGAACAAGTAACATCTGCCAGACATATTAGCAGTCAATCATAATGGACTAGACTTCAAACCCTTCCAACTAGAGCATGACTATAGTAGCATAGCTGTGACACCTGAGGGAATTTGAGATACCAGCTTATGGGATGCTCAGGGATGTCCTCACTCTGACCACAGGTCTACAACAGTCAGCACCCATGTCAGGAGCAGACTCCTTAACCTCACTTCCCCACTAACTTATCTGGTGATGCATTTTTGGAACCTCCTAGTATCAAACATGGGCAGTATCACTCGGTCAGAGAAAGAACCAAATGGTAAGGTCCTCGGCCAGAAACAGCAGCTAATGTCTCCAAAATGTACCTGGCAGCGAGCAAACCCTCTTTCCCAGCACACAAGGACTGGGACTTTCTCAGACCTCATCCTCACAAAAGGATATTTTTCCTATACATCCTAGACAAGCTGTCCACATACCACTGCCAAAAAGAGTATTTGTTATCATTTACAATATCCAAAGGCAAAGAGAAAACTGAATCTCCACGAATCCAGCTGCATTTGTTCTTTTCTCATCTTAGTGATTTCATAAATTTCAACCATAAATCCCTGCCTGCCCCATTACAGCCTACACTGGTAGATGTTTGGTGCAGAAACCCAGCAGGTGCTGGAGAAACATCCTGAAAGGTTTTGGTAGCTCTGTTCACTGAATCAAGTTTCAGCTCTTGCTCTGTACATGGCAATCATGAAAACTTTTGCTGAACTTCAAAGCTTATCGCTGGGTATTTCCACTGCCCTCCTTTTTGAGGTGCACTTGCAGTCTTGCACAATTAACACAGCATTATTTAATTTTAACACTTAGAAAAGTGGGTACACAAGCAGCAGRAAAATTGCTTTTGGTAAAATAAATGCTTGGAAAAGTAGAAAATAGCACAATGGAAGCGCTTATATGCGGTGGTCGCTGCCAGCAAAAGCCCCATTCTAATCAGGGCTGCAACGTTCTATGAAAACAGAGGGAAATCTGGTGCTTACTAGGGGTGTTTCTTGGAGCTTGGGTTGGGACATCACAGCTCCCCATCACCAGCAGCTTGGGCTAGAGACTGTGCAGCCCATCAGTTTGCTGCTAGAAACTAGACTACATATTGGCTACCAGATTTGAAAAATAAAAGAAAAAAGAGAGAAAAATTGTTGCCCAATTAAACAATTTGTTTGCAAAACTTTACTGATTATGAAAACACAGGCAATGTGCATAGGCTTACTCACCTGTCATTAAAAAAAAATTGGTTTAATGAAAGAGCAGAAACACTGTACTTATAAAATTTAAGGCACACTTTACACTGAATAAAGGCATATTTTGCATAAAACTGAAAAAGCAATCAACAGCCAAACAATAAAAAAGTCATCAGATTAAAGGTATCAGGTGAAAAATTATTGCTTACCAGGGCCTAGATGCCTCTCTAAGGACTTTATCATGACTAGAATTTTGTAAGCACAGTCACGCATTTCAAGTGCCAAATAAATCTCAATGGCATTTTCTTGTTATTTGCAGTATTACCTACATCAAGAATAGAGAAGCATATGGACTACTACAGACACAAATAATATTATGGAAGAAACATCTGGAAAGAATTCAAGTCTAAGCATTGCACATTGTGGTCTTACAACTGTACCTGAAAGCTGCAGATGCACAAATTAAGCCTCCTCAAGTCAAGCCTACTGCATTTTATTTTTCAGGAGCGGCACTTGAGTGATGGATGAATCTTTTATAAAGGGCAAAATGTTCCTCTGGCAACCCCTAGTTCCCCCMAAAAAACCTTTGCAAGCTTTGCAGGGGCTTTTGTTGTTATCATCATCCATTTCAGTATTTCTAGAGCTTGAGTTTTGCAGGTTTTCCTCCCACCTCCCAGACTCGGTGCCCTTCCCCGGCACAAAAATATGAAAAGCTGAAGGTTGTTCTAGCAAAATGATTTTGATTAAATCAAAAAGAAGAGTTTGTACCTAAACAAACCTCTGCAGGACAAACTGTATGAGCTTGCATTACAATATTACTACCCTGCAGAAACTGCCCACATGACTACTGGTTTTGCTGAGGACACTTGTGTCACATTTACTATTTTAAGTGCAYGCTCGGGGACACTGGATTTGGAGCAGTTGGCTTGCTGCAAGCACAGTGTTTGCAGAACTCATTTACATGACCAAAACCTTATGCTCTTAAAAGCACTTAGGCAGGGTTGGATGGTCATTAAGGCTTTTAATTTGCAAATACTACCATAAGAGTACATATAGTTATCTGTAGGAATTTATACCTATATCATTTTTTTTACATCTGGTATATACATATACCAGGTAGCTTCTATATCAGAAATCACCTGCACACATATTGCAAAGTGGCTAAGTAGTTTTGCATCAAAATGGTTGGCAGTAACTCAGAAAAAAATGAAACCCAAATAAAGAATTTTAGATTGCAAACGAGTCCAAAAGGCAGAACTGTACAAAGATTTTTCTAGATCCTTTCTATACTTTCTCTTGGCTAACAACAGCTTCTCACTTCCATTAGCACATGTGCTAGAAATGAGGCTCTTGGATACAAACTGAAAACCTCCCTATATTATTACCACATATCCATTTTCAAAGGACCAGGAACATTGTTTGGTGAGATCACAGGCTGTTTTTGAAGTTAACGGGCCAAGTTCCGCATAGGTTCACTACGAACTGAGATGCAGGGCAGGAAGAAAAACATTTGTTCTAGGAAATTTTAATCAAGTCACTATTGCCTCGAGTCAAGTCAGTGAAAATAACCGAAAAAAAAAAAGCTTTTTTTCCCCCCCTGCTTAGTATTAACACATAAAATAATACCAGAAAGGGTTAAGTAGCTGAAGGGACTTTAATCTAATGCAAATTCCAGTCTTCCAATTCTTAGACTGGGTTTATAACAGAGAAATGAACTTTCCCACTGTCAAGGTGTAACACTTATTTCAGAGCACTTGTGAGCTCAAGAAAGTGACAGTGGAAGTTGACTCCGTCATCTCCAATTTAGCAGTTAAAATCTTACACCTCTGTCATAGGCAACAGTTCAGAGCTCTCATGCAGGACCTGATGGCAGGTCCAGCCAGAACAGGCAGCCCATCAAATCACAGAGCAGACTGAACCTGCCCAAAACCTTTTCCCACCGTCCAAACAGGAAAATGGCAGTGAGATTTCCTCAGAGGAAGGCACTATATTCCAGGCTTAAGCAGAGCACAAGACTGGTGCATTCACATCAGTGGCAGTATTCAAATGCCTGAAGTAAGGCCCGTAGACGAGACTTGCTGAAGAGGAGAGCCAAGCCTCAACAGGTAGGGAGAAATCCTTCAGTGGGACCCTTTTCACCAGAAAAGGAGCAACACACTAGTTTTGCAGGGAATAAAATGGATGCCTCCTATCACTATCTGACTTATTCTCAAGTCAAATAGTTTGGGTTTTAAGCTAGCACAAGAATCAAGCGATTCCTTTTATGATCACATATGTAAAAAAATGTTCAATACAACCTTTCCTGGTGATACWAAGCACAAGGCCTAGTTCCAGGCTGTCAACTCTTAAATACAAGTCCCYGCCTGAGTTCAGTGCCCAGACCTGATCATAGTTAATGCTGATTTGCTCAGTAGACCTGATCTGAAGAAGCGGCACCTTTTCTTAGCTGAATTGCTCCCCATCTACAGGATGGGTCTCTAAGGTAATGGAAGTGCAGACCCCTCCTGCACGTGAGGATACCTGCAGCTGGGTCCCTGCTSGGGTGGTTGGCCTCCTGCCTTCTGGAGCTTCAACTTTGTATCTCTAAGTCATGTGCCTCCAAGGAAGGGTGATCCAAAGTGATGCCAGAAAGTTCTGCCCTTGGATGACAGCTTACTTAATTGCCCTGAAAGGATTCAGTATCAAGTCTCTTACCCTTTGAGCAGCCTTTCATGATGCAGCAGCTCATTCGGACAGGAGTCCTTGAGCAGGTCGCTCCTGGGGCTCATCAACACTACGTTYAAGTACAACTCTGAGGAGGCCACCAAACTTCTGAAGCTCTTTTGGAGCAATAAGAAAAGTACTGAAGGAAGGAAAGGGAAATGGAAGCTGCTAATCAAAACCAGAGCCATCCTTTTCCCTCCAGGCAGCAGGCAGATCACAACAGCCCTTACTAGCACYGATTTTCAGTGTTCTGTATTAACTACTGCTGCTTTTCTTGGACAAGGAACTAGAAATGAAAAGTTATCCACTATCTGGCTACCATTACAACAGTTMAACATAAGGAGGGCTTCAAGCAAAGGATCTCTTACTCGGCATGAAGTTGTATCCCATCATTTCCTCACCACTCGGCCTGACATAAGAGGACCTATCCACAGCAGCTTGCCACCTTGATCCTCCTCGGCCCACTAATCCATTTCTTGTATGGCTTTCTGTAAAGTCCAATCAGTTAAATGATCCAAATTAAAAAACAGCTCACAGCTGAGAGGCAGGGAGCTGCAGCGTGAGGCAGTAGCTGGGCAGGGGGGASAGCAGTCTCCTAAAACTATGCTGCCACCAGGGAATAAACTTCTGGAAGCACGTTTGCCAACCTAGCTTAAAGTTACCWTGCTTTTCTCACCATTTACTTTATGAAATAAGCAGAGAAAAAATGTTTTGGGTTTTTTTTTTGCCTACTCAAAATTTCACTGACCTCAGCGCAACCATCCAGCCGAACAAAATTATGTAGGATGGAGCAAATGGTAAGAGAAGCAACAAATTAGATTTGATTCATGTACAAAACGCATTTTTTCAAAATCAACTCCATTATTATATCTAGAATCTTGATTACTTTATAAATTCACCGTCACTGTTTGCAATGAAGAAAGGATCATATATGATTACATATRGACTCTCAACAGGTATTAGGTTTGTTATTTTGTTGAAGTTTAGTCAAAATTGTAGTAACAGAKGAATTTTGTTTGCATAACATGCTGCCTTCCCTAGAACACTTTCCATAAAAAACCTCAAACACTTGCAAAAATTCAAGAGCAAAACAAAAACTATCCTGATTCAGAGCCGTCACTGAGATGTCTCGCTACGGATGAGGCTCGGAGTGCCTTGTGTCCCTGCTTACTTGGCAATCTTAGCTACAGTTAGTCCAAATATTTCCCACRTCACCAAGACTTTGCCATTGCCACCACCTCCTCTGAAAAGCAATCCTATGTTCAAAGGTCCACAGAAGTGGTTTTTCCCCCTCCTTCTACATCTCACCACCTTTAAGGACGTCCTTTAGACACCAATGAGTGCATACCTACAGTGAACACCTACAGCAATAACTGTTAGTTTGTTAATGTCTTAATGATATATAACTCCTTTGACAACTCTGACTGCACACACAAAAAATAAAATTGAACTCTGCAGCAGCACCCCAGCACYGACTCTGTTAGTGCCCTTCTCGCTGAAAAGAGCGGGTTGTAAACACAGACTAYAGTTCATTGCCTCTGAACTCTCCAAACCCAAACTGCCGAGTAATTCTGCTATTTATACTGTTCTGGAGGGAGCAGAGAAGGGAAGGGAACTTAGCAGCAGWGAGTGATAAAGCATGGTATTAATATCAGATGTCCCAGCACCACTCACTYATTTTTACACAAACAGAAGCCTGCGAGAGCTGAGTCACTACTCGTTGCCTTTTAAACGGTGCACATGGAATTGGTGTCAGAACTTATCCCAAGAAAATGAAGACTGAATCCTCCACAACTACCATAATGAACTGTCTTATAAAAAATGAAGTTATACTTATGACAGGCTGCAAATCCCAAGGGGAAAAAAAAAAGTTATGCTTCAAAGAGCTACTCTTACTAATATCATTTATAAGCAGCAATATGTATGAAAAAAGAAAAAACGGGAAATGAATTGGTAGATGCTTTATGTCACTTTCTTATTCTATCCAAAGGCAAGAGACTAAGGATGGAAAACTTATATAATGAGAAGTAACAACTATGTTTTTGTGCAATTTAATTTCTGTTTTCACAGGTCTTATTTAGATCTCCTTTCTTAAAAAAAAACAAACATGTATTTTCTGGGAGACTCCTGTCTGGAAGGGGTTGGGGCAAGCTGCAAGGTATGAGAGGATGTGAGGCCATCTCTGGAAGTGGTTCCCGTTGTCACGTGAAGCACAAAGGCTTGCAGGTCGGTTGGTGGTTGTGTCGGGCAGCAACCTCACAGGGAGGCTTTGCCTACCGTGATGCCAACAAAACTTCAAGGCCTTCGGAACCATCTGGTGCACCTTGACCCCTTCTTGGTGATTGTGCATCCATGATGTCAGAGGACCTACCTTGCACGTTTTGGAACCTAAAGATTCATCGTTTCTAGCTATCTCTGAACATGAGAAGCCCCTCTTTGCACTAGCTCTACTGATTATTTTTTCTGCTCGTTTCTACTTTCTGTGACTGCTAGGACCAGCCTGCCAGGTTTAAGGCTAGCAACATCCCTAGGGGTGCTTGCAGAACCCTCAATGTTGGTTTTCACTCCTGTATCTCAGAAGTGGATCTTATTGAAAGGGAACTCCTGTGTCCCAGGTTTAGCACTCAGTGAGCTCATTTGATGCCTCATCATAAGGGACGTGGCTGCCACCCACTGTGGTTCATCATTCACATGCAGGGATGCTCCTGCTGTTCAGGTCAAACCCGAACTTATGCTGCAGGGGTCATGATCTGCTCGCTGTGGACACCCCAGTAGCTGAACTTCACTTTCAGTGGCAGGAAGAGCCTTCAGACTTCATGACCATCATTTCTCTTTTGGTCAAATCTAAGTTCCTAATTTTCTCTTTGCTTTTTTGATTACAAGGTTAATTGAATCTCTAAGATGAGTGAACTCCTTCACAAGCCAGAGCACAAACAGGCCAGCAATTCGGCAACATGCAGTGAGCACCTAAAGAGAAACCAGAGGAAGCCCACAGAGGAGCACCAGAGCTCATCCCCTTGCTACAGGTGACCTYGGTACCTGTAACCTTTCCACCATGGTGGCCAGCAGCCACTGGAGAGCCTGTACCTGTCAGCAGCTCTTCACTGGAATGGAGAAATACAACAGAAAGATCCTAAGTTCCTTAGATATTCCTAAACAGCTCAGGATGGGCTAAACAACAGGCTGCAACCAAGTACTTGGAGGGTTATGTAATAGCTTGGATTATACAGGGGAGCTGTTCAGAAATCAATGATTTTAATAACCAGTTTCTCCATATAATYGTGCACAAAGGGAATTTACCCACGTATTGTTCAGTTTGGAAGATTTCGTTGTGCAAAGAAATGCAATCTTTAGTGAAATAAAGCTTTGGTTTTAATTAAGAGATACTTAATAGGTTTCGTTAAAGAAATTATTTCTGTGCCATAGGAGCAAGTTAGTCTGATGGAAAATTTAGTGACCTCTGAAAGGACTAAGTTGTTCTGTAGCACTGAATATTGGAAACTACAAAGCAATGCATTCCTTCAAATTTAAATGGACAAAACATGATCATACGTGGCAGGGAAAATTAAAAAAAAAAGAGGAGGAGGAGATGGAAAAAGAAAAATAAAAGAAAAAAAGAATATGAAAATTTGGGCCTCCTTACCCGTCACATAGTCTTTGCTCTGTGTCAAGGGATTCTATTTGCTTCCTTCACTGGCACAAAGAAAATTACTCCCATTAGCCCCCAGGAGAGGTGACAGCTAGCTAGGCAAGCGTGAGATGGATTCTGCTCTGCATCACACAAAATCAACAAAATAGTCAAATGGGTTCTAGCTCAGTACCTTGCTTCATTTTTTATTTTATATTTTTATTTGCACTCATAGCAATGATGATGTGATAAAAGCAGTCAAATGAACGTAGCACGATTACCATATTGGACAGCTAAAAAGTCACAGAATTGAAGCTGATAAATCTGCTTAGTGAATTATTGATAGTATTCTAGAGGAAACTTAAATACTATTTTTATAGAATTGCTTTTCAACAGGCAACTGTTCTAACTTCAGAAAGGCCCTGGCCCTTTATGTTAGAGGGATTTAAAAATAAGAAAATAAAATGTATTCATTCAGTAGAGATGCTGATTGAGACAAGACTAGAGGAAAAAAACAATTACATAAGCTTCACCCTATATCTTTAACCTGGTATACACTGAGTACAGCAAATAAAGTCTGACAAATACAAACTGCTATTTTCTATGTTAAAATATGCTTAATAAAGTCTGAATAAAGCTAACTGTGATTTGACAATAATAGTTTGCTATTTTAATGAAAAATAACTTTAAAAAAGTCATCAGCTGAAAAGCTTGGCCTTTCTCTTACATATTTTGTGAAAGCATAGAGAGGCTGAAAACACATAGGCTCATTTTGAAAAATCAAGCTACAATTTTCTAGAAATTCTCCCATGCTTCTCAKGCTATTTAAAAGATGCTTGCTAAATTTCAAGCGACTCTTTTGTCTATGTCAAATTAAAAAGAAAATCTTAAAAAATAATAAAGAATAAATCAGATCAATGCAAATAAGAGAACTGATGTTAGAATATATTATAGTTCAACCTTTTAACTACAAAAGTTTCAAGTAAAATACAAATAATTTCAAAATAAAAAAAGTGTCCTTCAGTTAACAGGTTTTTATCTGAAACACTTTTTCCCTGTATGAAAGCACGTAATTTTAAATCTGTTTATGGAACGCACATTTACCGCTAACATATGAGGCTACAAATACATCAGAGGAAGTTATTCACTATGACTTGAGTAATATGTACTGTTACATTAGGCAAAAAAATAATTAAAAATAAATAAAAATCCTCTGATATTTTCCAGTGATATAAACACAAAGATGTCCTGACTGGCATGACAGGTAACCTCTAACCTCACTTATGAGGCCAGCAAAAAGTAAGGCACCACTTGCAGGTGCTTTGTTAATAGTAAGAGCCCCCATCACACTACACTAAGCAGGGCAATCAGCCGACAACCTGCACATTCACTACACATCATGCACACCTGCCTTTTGTGCTCAGCAACAGAAAACACCACCACAGAAGCCAACCGCTGCTATCTCACCTCGCTATCTTGTCGCTGCAGGACATGGTAAGCAGCCTTTCTCCTTGCAGCACTCCATCCCACGTCTGGATGGTGGTGGTGGATCTCACCGGGATGGTCCCTTCCCCAGACTCGATTTTTGTCCGGAGCTGTCCCCTCGCTTTGCGGTTCGGGTGTCTGTCCCCTTGATCTGCACAAAAGGCATTGCTCACCATCAACCCAGAAACACTGCCCACATATTTTACATATTAAATAAGAATTCAACTAGAAAGAATTGATAGAAATGGCTCTTAGCTTGCATAACAATTTCTATTGCTCCTTTCAATTGAGCTACAGCATCAAACACGACTCTTGTACRTAGCATCTCCTGAAACACATTTGCAAAGGCCCAAGCTTGCAAACAGGAACAATTAATGTGTAGCAAAAAGTGCTTTCTMCAACTGTAACATAGGACCTTTTATCTAATACACATCTATACAAAAAGGAAAGAAAACACCTRAATTCTGTCACACATATCTGTGTGTGATCAAATATGCTTTAGGCTTCATGGCTTTTGTAAGATTGCTGTCATACCCTCTTGTGCTGCTTCGTGTGGTGAGAAAATCCTAGCATCGCCACAAGGGGATGTACTGATATAGAGATGAAATTGCACATTCTCCTTCAGTTTAAACCCGCCGTGCTCAGATTTGATAAAAATGGATTTCTGCTGATCTTCTTTATTGCTGAAATAGAGAAGAAAGCCAGAGCGAACATTGAAACAAACATGCACGTAGTGCAAGTTGCTTAGTCTTAATAGATATTAAAATGGGTATGTCTAGACATATTTACACTATAACTCTAACAGTAATTACAAATAACAACAACAAAAAAGMCACTAGAGACAAGGGAAAAAGAGAGCCCTCACATTCACAGTGATCTTTCAGAGACTTATCAGGAAAGAAAACATCACATATTTATTGGTCCAGATTATTTTGATTTATATGCTTATATAGTTTCCCAAATACCTTTATTCCATGTTCCCCTCCCAGGGCTCACACCTAACCGAACACACGCTTTGTTAAAGTCAGACTTCATGGGAAGTGGCTGAAAYGCTCAGTTACACATTCTAATGTAAAGAGATAATGCTTCACATACCAGCTTGTCTCACCAAGGCATTTCAGGACAAACGTTTCACATTCAAATAAATGTGTCTAAGACAGCTTTTCAGTCCTGTGGGGTCACTTCACCTCCTATAATCTTCTGTTTCTCACCAGCTTACCTTAGATAAAGCTCAAGTTGTGTATACAGAAATTTAAGCAGGCACCGTCGAGATACAATTTCTGCATGGCAATCATTTAATGCAAGACCCCGATCACTCATGTACTCGCCATTGATGCACTTTGTTCCCGTAGAAACACTTATTACCAGGGCATCTTTAACATCTGTGCCTGTAAAGAACAATTCAAAATTTTAATTTCAGCAATTTAAAATGACAGTCATTCTAACAAGAGATTTCTTCCCACTAATTTTGCACCATGCTTCTTTCAGCTTTTCCCTTTCAAAGAAATGGGTTCTTTTTCCAATACTTACTTTACAGCAAAAGCTTCACTCAGACCTATCATCCCTATACCAGGATGATCTATGGTTCATATAAATTCTTCATTATAAAGTTCAGACTAGCTTGAAATTGAAAACTTGAATGGAAAATACTGCTGCTTCAGGAAGAGATAATAAAGCCTGAACTCCAAAGACTGCTTTTTTTTTCCTGAAACACAGTCAGCCTGCTAGTTTCCAGCATGTACCTTGTGGTTATATATCTGCATGTGACCATGATATTAGAAAAATGTCTTATTAAAAGACACTGATTTATTAAAAAGTAATACACTATGATTGGGTATTAAGCCAACAATASGAAAGGTTGAACTAGAGTAGCAAAAAAAAAAAAAATGCTTAAATCACTGCAAAGTTAGTCAGCAGTATAAGAGATATAGTCCTTGATATTACATAATTCTGCACAAAATAATGAGATTCAAAATCTTTAAAAATATTTTGCGTATACACAGAAAACAGCCTCTGTCATAAAAAATAAAGGTGATTTGTATGAAAAATTCAGAAAAAGCWGGACCAAAATGTTACATCCCTCTAGCAAAAGGCCCAACCAGCCACATGTTATTTTGTCCAAGTTCTCAGCACTTGATCAGCACAGGCAGAAAGTGGCCATCCTGGCCAAATGCCATTTGCTATTTTCCTGTCACAAAACAGATATTACAGTAAAGAAAAGCCACCCCAAAAGAGATTCAACTTGATTTTAGCACCTAGGGTCTAGCACTCAGGCTGCCCTAAAAAAAAAAAAAAGAATGAACAAACGAATAAGGAGAGATGTGTAGGTGCTTCACCACCTCAAAACCCATAGAAATAAACGTTAATGTGTGGAAGGGGCCAGGGTTTGTCACTTGAGAATCAAGAAACCACATCTATAGCTCCCCAGTGGGTCTCCTACATTATACACACTGGCTACAGGGGAAGAGCCTGGCAGCAGCATTTGCATTTTCTGAGCATATATTACCATCAAATTCTTACTAGAGTCACCAAGTAGAGAAATGTGCTAGCTGAAAGCTCAGTTCAGTCAGCTGGCATTTTGATAGAATTCCCTTTTTTGGTATTTGCCAAACAGCCCAGAGAACAAACGTTCARTTTAAGCACACAACAGATTAAAACTTGGCCCTTCTAAAAGAAAAGAAAGAGGCTGAGTGAAACGAAAGTCTTCAAAGACTTCGCCCATGTCATTCTACTGCCACAGCTACCTCTCCTCTTTGTGTGCTTACCATGGCTTTACAGAGGCTATTTTYAATCTAAATACCTTAAATTTGTGCAGAAATTTCCTAGCATTTCTCTGAGGTGTAACATCATGTACATTTACAAAGGGARCATTTACAAAAGGGAACAGAGAATCTACGAGACCTTCAGTAATTGTCCTGCTGGCTCCAATAGCAGAAGCTGGCACAGGTTCCGCTCCTACAAGCCACCGTGGCCAACAGAGGTCATGTTTGAGGTATTCACTGTCTCGTGTCGGGAGAAGCTCCTCTCTAAGGCTGGGCTTTAGAGTCACCTAATTCCAGGGTTTCCCCTGACACTTAACACATCCACACAAAGCTGTTTCCTCACAACATGCAAAGCTATTTCTTTGGTTAATCAAAAGGTATTCACATGTTAATTAAAGCTTTTGATGCMTTGGGTTCCTCTGGGAATGTTGGATATATTATAATTACAGTTACAATTACAGTAAGCATTTTACCAAAATTATACAATATTCTAAAATAAAACTACAGCTTGTTCTTCACAGATAGATCATCAGCATGAGGCACAAGCAATGTCTCACTGGACAGGCCTTGGGGAACTGTTTTACCCCATTTACACTTTGTATTTTTTTTTTTCTTTTTGAGCACAAAGCATGTGCATGGAAGAGATCTTGGATGAGATTATGTTGAAGCATCTGTGCTCAAATCAAACTGCTTACTTTATGGAGCCCAAAATACTTTATGAGAATTGGGGACACCATAAAGACTAGCRCAGAATGATGACCTCTTTTGGCACTAAAAAAAATATTTTAAAATGAATGAAATCTTCAAAAACATAAAGTTTCCTTCTCCCAGATGCAAGAGGTTGGCACTGACTGCCCAAGAATCACTGTCTTCTCTGAACACGCACAACGTGGCCCTGTGAACACACACAAACGTGAACCTTAGAAGCCTGAACCATGATGAGCCTAGAGGAGGAGAATAATCGCCAATGAACTGACCCAACTGCAAGAAGCCTTCGTACATCCTAACTTGAGATGTGGGCAAAACTCCCAGACACTTCAAAAACTCTGTGAAGCAGTCTGGGTTACAAAGCTATCTCACTTCTTCAAAGGAGGAGGAGAATAAAAATGACAACTCAAATTCTGTGGGAGAAGAGGCTTGTAGAAACCTCTCTGAATCAGGGGCATCCATATGATTCCCTGCAAAAAGATCTTGACCAAGGCTGCCTCAAGGGCTCCTGGCTCTCTCTCCCTCACTTTTTAGTGCTGCTACATATCTAATACTGCTGCACATATCCTGAAGCCAGCCTGTTACACCGCTGCATCCCAGACTGCCCTGGAAAGCACAGGAGCTGCAGAAAAGCCTACTGGGCTTGGGTGAAGAAACGCTTCTGGTAACACACAGAGCTCTCGCAGGGTCTCTCTGAAGAGGCTTGCAAATAACCAGAGCAGTCACCAGGGCAGTTATCATCCGTCTTTGCTACCCCTCCTCGTCTGGACTGCTTGTGACAGAGCCTGGCCTAAACATCCCATAGTGACACTCTCCYTCAAGCATGTGATCCTGAACAGCACTCTTGAATCTTGGTAACAAAACGCTAGCTCAGTGGGGGACGTTTTTACTAGTATCTCCACAGGGAAAGGGCTGCGTTGACCCAAAAACAAAGGCAAGCTACTATGAAGGTGARGTAGCAGGAAAGGTGCCCACTGCACAGAGCACAAAGACAGCTCAGCAGAAACGGGCTGTGCACTCACCTCTGACCCTCCTCTGACTTGGACAACTAACGGGGTATTCCAAGACAGGTCCAAAATGTCCTTTATTCCAACCAAGTGACCAGCTGGACTATAGGCAAAGATGAATCTTAGCCTCAGGAAAATTCAGCATCACTATGGATRCAGAAGGCTTAGGGAGGAATTGGACTTTTGGTCCGAGTGATCGGGCACACAAAAGATCTCGCGTGAATGATGACACAAGCACAATCCTGCTGCTGGTTGTACATACACACTAAGGTCGGCTGCTGAAAGAGAAGTTACTTTCTTCAAGTATTTTTACTAAAGTGACTGGGATTAAGCACCAAGAAAGAAATATTGCAAGAATAACTTAATAAAATGCAGAGTTGTAAGGACTGGGAAAACAAGCATAATTTATAACATTATGTATCAAAATAAAGGAATACTATCTATGTGACTAAGGTGGTAAATGTTATGTTTAYATTTATTTCCAAGAAGCATAATTAATTTCAAAAGATACACGTGCTTTTTAGAATATGATTTATCTCAGAATAGACAGACACCTCTATATAGTCAGAATATAGGAACTTTGTGGAAATAGAAGTATTTCCAGGTATAAATTTACTGTTATCACATTTAGCCAAGATTCAAATGTTGTATTTAAAACAATTGGAAGATTAAATGGTAATATATGCTAAACTGGTTGGCTGAAGACAGAAGATGCAGTATCTTAAAATTCAGAAATCTGGTATATTCTGGTAGTATATACATATATATATAAAACTTATATATAAAACTTATATTGCTAGTATTACTTATTTTACCTGTTGTCATGACAATTCCAGCAAGGACTTTTCTACGTGCATGTGGAGATGTGAAATTTTCCGTCAAATCACTGAATTTATCTACAACCAAGCGTGCAACRGCATCAGCTAAAACCTGTAAACCACAGAAATGCATATTAGGCCATTAAATAACAAAATGTTACCACACCATTAGGTTATAAACATGTCAACTTTCAATTATTTGATGTAAGAGATTAAAAGAGTTTGGACTAATAATTTTAAAAGATTGATATAACAAAGATTGTTCCAGCATCTGCTGTGTCAGTGGGATATCTACGGTCCGCCTTTCAGGTATTCCAAATTCTCACAGCCCTCTGTATGCTAAAGCTCTGCATCTATAAAAACAGGGTCAGACAGCCCTAAGCCCAGAATCAAAGTAGCTAATTCATGAAAACAACTGAATAGACAGATGAGTCAATACTTGCATGCTCARACCTCAAAACACATCATTTCTGGATACTTGAGTATTAGACCCGACAAGAGGATTGAAGAGCAAAACCCAGCCTCTTCAAACCAACGTAGAGCCCTTTTATAAGAATGGAATTAATTAGGTAATTATAACAGCAGTTAAAATTTATATTTTTATTTTTACAAATTATATGCAAATTTAGGAATGGAAAATGTCAACATATAACCCAAATTAAGTGATCAAAATCAGGAAAATTCATCTCTTTCACCTTCAAGAACACTTGAATAATAAATACAGCTTTATAATTTGCCTACAGGGTTGGCAAGCAACATAGGTCATACGTAAGGGTGAATAATTTCAAATATTAAAGCTGCTGATGATTCAGTTCAACACTGCAGCTAATCTCACCTGATGTTCTTAAGATGACTGAAATCTTAAGAGCTAGAGGAGTCAAAAATCAAAATTTTGAATTTTCACCTGAAAAGAAATTTAACAGCAGGGCAAACTGTGCAACAACACTGCCTTTGAGGAAAAAYATTTGTTATTCAGAGGCAATCTGGCATTGCCTGAGCGCTTTCCCCACATACTCCATGAAGCACAAGACACATGCAATATGCATGGCAGCACAGTTATTCACTCCAAAGAAAATGGACAAAGTACATGCTCAAGAAGACATGTCCAAAATCTAGCTATATATAGAAAGAGAAAAGTCCTCTTAGGCATAGTTATTTAGAGGAAGGAGGAATGCCAATAAAAACAGGTCCTTTAAGGCTACCTGGGCTGTTTCAGACACCATCACATCACCCAGGCATGAAGAAAGAAGACAGAAGTTGGCAGGGGATTTGTGGCAGCTGATTCTCACTCGTCTCCCACCAGAATCAGCGTCAGAATTCCAAAGAGAAATGGAGAATCAGGAGCTGGGAAGGGAACAAACCCTTTCCAGACCACAGAAACCTGAAGCTGGATGTCCAGCAGTAASCTTCTAGCCGAGCTCCTGTTACAGTCAGAGATGCTGGAGTCCCAGGTATGAAGAACTCGGTTTGGTTGTCCATGTGTTGGTCCCCAGTGATGCCCAAGATGCTCTATGGCATCCACTTAGCCCACGACACTCTAGAAGAGCACAGGTCCTATATTGTACCTGCCAGCACTATGCAGATGTCTTTGGTATCCAAGAGCATCTAACGTGGCGCTAAACATATGAGTGGGCAAGTAAACCAAGCCTTCAGTAACAGAARAAAATCACCCTTCTCCTCCCTCCCAGATAGGGTGCAAAGCATATCAACAGTGCTGATGGGTACACAGACCTTGGATGGGTCCAGCTTAAACCATTTGCAAATTAAACATAACCATATCTAAAAACAGATTGTCAGGGTCAAAAAACAAAAAAAACCCAAACAAAAAAAAAGAAACAAACAAAAAMCAGTAAAAACAGAGGGTTGCAAGACTGTCRACTCAATTCATGACCATCATCTTCGTGATGCCCTCAAGGGCTGACAGCCTGGAAACAAGGCGAAGCAACGCTCAATGTTGACTTCCTTCTGGGAGAGCTTTAGCAGCCAAGGAAGAAATAASGACAGCTCGTGTGTCATCATGTCCAAGCTCAACAGCTTCTTCCAGAATCTAGTGCAGACAGGGACTAGCAGTCAGTGGTGACTGAGGCTGCACTTGCACAATGCTTCAGTCAGTGTTTYGCATTACAAGATCTCTAGTTTCTAGGACGTCCAACTATGAATTTTCATGATGCATTTGAATAGACTGCAGCTCTTATCCACTGACTGAAACAAAGTATTTCTGATCCTGGAGCCCAAATCRTACTGTATCTAACATGATTTTTACATATCTTTTTCTGACAAGATTATTTCTTACCTAACTAGCAAAGTAGATAAAACTGCATTGTTAGTGTACAAATGCAAGAAGTACAGGACTGCATCTCATACAACAGGGAACTAAACTACAGGCAAATAAACCTAAAAATGCTTGAACAAATTATAAAATAAGATCCTGGAGGGTGTTGATAAGAACTGAGCAGAACTCAAGCTGGACAACAGTGTCTGCTAAAGACTTTTACTCATAAATACAGACTGATTAAATTAGAGATATTTTTGATGCGCTCTCCTAGTTCAGATAAAAAAGTGCATGGTGACAATAAACACTATTAAAGGCGTACAGATTAAGCTGTTAAGATCTTGATCTTCTTTAGGTTCGAAATAGCAGAATAAATAATAAATTAGATGTGAATTATTCTTTTATCTCAGTCCATAATAATAGCAGATTCTTTAAGAGCAGATGTGTCTAGATAATTATGCATTTCATGGGGACTTTGCTATGACCTAGTAAGTCAATAAAGGGAATGTGTGCACTCAAAATACAGATTTTTTTCCAAATCCATGTTTTAAAATAGTCTGAACCTTAAAGTGTTCAGGCCTGTCTCAAACTGAAGAGAGATCTCAGCAGGAGATCATTCCTACCAAGAACCGAAGTTCCATCTAGACAAATGCYGACATTGAAGTGGGGGTGGACCAACCAATGGCACTTCATGGGCTGACAGCACTCTTGAATCTGAGTGGGAAACTGACCCAAGACTTCCCAAAATTTGGGGTACTCTTTGGAGCTCTAGCGATCTTTCCTCTTCCCATCAAGAACCTATATTCTCCTTCAATTTTATTTCTTCTTACCTTTACAGTTTAGAGCTTATATGAACTTTCTCACAAGCTGATGAGCACTGGCAGTGTCCATAGCAGGCAAAATCGGGGTCAGCCTGGCCCATTATCTCTCCTCTGACAATGATCAGCATATGCAACTCAGAGAAGGTGCAAACATATCTACACTAATAAAACAGGGCAGTTATTTTCTAATTCTCCTTTATAAAATGTTTCTTATATTTATCTGTAAAAAAAAWTATTGTATGTGTTGTTGTTTTGTCATATAAAAATGTAGCGCTAGGCTTGAATGTCCTGGCCATCTCCCATATAAAGGCAAGTGCACTTATATCAATAGTTAGTTTTACAGTGCAGTACGCTAACACAGATAACAGCAATTCACAAAACCAGAAATCAAGATTAAAACCTATCCAAAGTTACTCTGAATATTTTATTCCTACTGCTTTTGGGGATTCTAATTTTGATCATTTTACAGATTCAAGAACTAACAATAGGTAAAACAAAGCCAGTGAACTACTTAGTGTCCGGTGCCACGAGCATTTWAAAAAGTTCCACAGAGAATGTGGTCTGTATTAATTGAAACAGGAAAAAAAATACATGAAATACCATAATTCTGTAGCTGAAAATGCAGGAAAAGTTCACCAGTAATAATTATGCAATGTAAAAGGACAGCATATATGAATTTCCAAATGATGTAAATTGTTCAAGCATTTTGAGGGAATATTGCATCTAAAACATTCACAACATCAAAACAGGTTCCTTAATCCCACTTTCTTGAGTGATATATCAGTATATATTCTGACAGTATTTTATATTTTTAACAAATTCTAAAAACATCCTTGGGGATAACAAGGTCATCCTTAAAACTCTTATAAAAACAGAGAAAGCTGCATCAAAATAATACTCAAGTACTTGAACTGAAATAGACATATGTAATATCATTTAAAATGCTGAATGGATGTACTAAAAAGGGGTCATTTGAAAAATAGTTACTGATGTCTCACTGGGGAAAAATAAAAGTAGGTCAGTAAGGGAGAATTTTTCTTCATTAAAAGTTCATTCTGTTCTAGCTACTTTACATTTCTCGTCTGTCTCGTATGTTCAATACGTTGCCTTATTCATCTACCACTTGATTTAAACCATTTCTTAGCAGATTTGGTTGCCAAACTAATATTCATGGTTTTGTCAACTAAAATAATTGCAGATTTCTATCAATGGATTTAATCAGCACAGCATCCTTTAGATGACAATAATTTAAAATTCTCCAACATTTCTTGGATACAKACACTAAAGATCTGACTTTTATGCAGAATCCTGGCTATAAGGCGCCATTGCATTGGCCTCACTTAACCTGTCCTTGACATTCACTACTCAGCATCATTCACGTCAACAATTTCATTTTGCAGGAGAGAACGATTTTCTTCTTTCTGATAAAGCAACAGCTGTATCAGATAATCAAATTATTTAAAGCAGGAAAATCCTGACTCGAACTCCATCTACACACACAGCTGCTCAACACGAGAGAGTCACAGTTCAGTTTTCCCCCCTAATAAAAACTGTAATTTAAGTGGACACTAAGCTATGCTCTGTGTTCCCTTATGTGACATGATGAAGTCTGAAAGGATCAACAGGGCTGAAAGGAAGCCCTATGCTGTCCAACAGAATATGAGTGTTCCAGAGTACAATCATTTTCTGYCGTTGTCAGAAGCCGTAAGTGGAAAAGAAAAATTACCTAATGAAACATTCTTGAAGCAAATTCAGCACAAACGACTCGGATGTTCCTGGCAATCACTGAAATATATGAGCAAAAAGCAAAGGGGCTTCTCACCTGTGGTAAGTGTAATTGGAGCCCCTCACTGGGAATGGGTTGTCGAGATGGAGTCTGGTCCAGCTGCATGTTAAATAAGGATGCCAGAGCTGACTGAGCAGCCCGAGCTTTGGCGAGCTTTTTATTCCTTCCTGATCCTTCAAAAGTTTGGCCATCCACTGCCACCGCCATGACAAAGTTTTTAGCATGGCTTTCCCCGCTTTCTGAGAGAAACTCGTACTTCAAACCCGGCCGCAGCTCGTTCAAGATCATTACGGGGTTCTTTCCACTTGTGGATGGATATGGTGATGGTGCAGGGAGAGGTGACTGCATAAGACTACTACTTACAGTAGATGTCGACAAACCGTAGTCCCCACTAGAGCTAAAGGATCCATCTCCATTGGACCCCAAATAAAAGGAAGCATCGGATGGAACCGGAGTTTCAAATCCATTGAAAAGCGTGTCTGGAAAGTCTGCTTGGTCAGACGTAAAGTCTGTGTTCACGGACAGAGTCCTCCCCATTGCTAGATGGGCTTCAGAAGCGTTGGGAAACTGCACAAAAGACCGCAAGGCCTTCTCAGCAGCGTGGAGCTTTGCTTTCTTTTTTGTAGGGCCAGACCCCTCAAATACCTGCCCATTGACCTCAACCGCCATCACAAACATGGGGGCATGAACCGGACCCGTCTGGGACAGAAGTTTGTACTGTAAACCAGGTTTTATCTCATTGAGTTGCATCAAGGCGTTCTTTGGCAAAACAGGGCCCGGCGTTTTCTTCCTCTTCTTCAGGCGAAATTTGGAGTGGCCATTGTTGCCCTCCTCCAAAGGCCTCTTTCTGCTGCTGCTGCTACCACCATTGGAGAGCTGAGCCCCCTCCCCGGGGCCTTGCACACTGCCATCCTTGGGGGGAACGTTGTCCATGTTGCGGTTTTCTTTAACATCGGTGCTGCTCGAACCTGCGGTGCCCAGAAAGAGTAACTTACAATGCCTTCGGTGCAGGATCTTGTAAATGCAAAATTTATAGATTCCTTTATCTATCTTTGTAACTGGTTAAGTGATGTGTGCTCACAAACTAAAGTCACTGCAGTACAGACTATATCTATACTCTATATTCAAGAAATAACATATTGAAGAGCAACTTCTGAACTGTGCATTTGATACATTCCTACAGCAATAAGACATCAAAGTTTTTATTCTGCATTCGAATCAAACAGGTACAAAACTTTTGCTCATAAACTATCTATCTTTGGCCTGAAAAGGCTTTTGATCAGACATATAGTTTATACTATTTGCAACATAAACCTAATAAAACTAAAAAACCCCACAAATTAAATGAAAACAGGTGCTGAAGACTAATACTAAGAAACTGATACTTAATTCTTCTATTTTATTCTGGCTACATCTTTTCTTCAGCAATTTTATTTACTCAGATTGAGAAATGACATAAATAAAATCTGCATCAAGAAGAGTGAAGTGCTTTTGTAGGCACCAGGACCAAAAGGGGCCTCAATGTTCCCGTGTGTCTCTCTAGCTACTACAGATCCTGCATTCACTTATCTTCAGTAACCTTCCTCAATGTTCAGCTGCACCATAATTTGCTCAGGGACTACAGCTGCCCACTTCCTTGGTGGCAACGGAGTTCTCGCCACGCCAACAGTTTTGGGAGAACACACAACACAGCAGAACCCTTCTCCCAACAGACCTGACCTTCAAAGAGCTCCAGCTGATTCACACTGAACCCAAACGCTCTGATTTGCCCTGAACTCATCCTTTCCGTGCCTCAAAAATGCTCTCAAGCAAGGCTCTAAGCAGTGCACAGCACAGCACATTAAATTTAGCTTTGACTTCTCTCTGGACATACAGCCTTAGTTTTTGAACTAAAATTTGCCACAGATATGTTCCATCTTTCCCCASAAAAATAGCTGCAAACTACTCTATGCTTCAGTTTGGCTGCGCCACAAGCTTGTATATATCTGCACAAGGCCAACTTTTGAGAAACAATATATTTGTTTTTTACATGCAACTTTGCAATTCCTGGCAATATAAAAAGTAACTGGTATTCCTGAACAATAAAACCAAAGATCAKAATCATAAAGATTGTTCATTAAGGCTATACAGAGCACAGGAAGTGACAAATGCTGCATCACCAAAACGATGATATCTTTAAGTAATGTGACATTGTTACATAAATGACTTACTGAAGTATAAAGCTTGAGAAATGATGTCACAGGTACATTCTAAGAATTATTTTTGCTACAATTGCAAAGATCTGTTTTACTCTGTAAAGAAACCGCTTACACGAATTATTTGTGCTTTATACAGCTAAAAAGGCAAATTTAGTATGTTGAGCAGTGCTAGTGCTGCCAGTGCTATAACAGGTGATAGATATTRATCAAATTTAGAGCAAGCCAAGGTGGAAATCCCTTTTCACAGTGATGAGTTTCCAATGCACTATAAGCTTCCCTACCAATAACCAAAGTGCACACACCACTTCGCCCAGGTTACAAAGCTGATGGAATGGTTACTAAATTTTCATTTATAACATCCTCCAGCAAAAGCTCGATAGGTTACTCCTTTCGGTGCTCAAAGAGAGAGAAAGAGAGGGGAGGAAAAAAAAATAAAGATGATCAAAAGAAAAAGCCAAAGTAGGAACACATTTTGTTACATTATGACAGCACAGCATGTAATTGTACATACTAAATTCAATACAGATTAACATTGAATATTTAATTCAAGACAAGAGCCAAACATTAAATACTTCAAAGTGCTTCATCAATAGAAATATCCTTAAGTTAATAATCATTTGTAGTGTTCTACACTATAATAATCATTTGTAGTGTTCTATCCCAAATTATGCTGTCCAACGAAGGAATACTATGGGACCATAATAGTCAGTATAGAGTGTTTATGCATGAATATTCTTTATTGTACTATATTGAAGGAATACCAAGTAGAACAAAACAAATCATTAATACTTGGCTTACAGTGGGTTACTTACTTGAAACCATAATCTCTAAAAACATGCATTTTATCTAAAAACATATTTTTGGAACATTATTCTCATTAGTGATAATCAGGAGATTGCTTTCACACAATGTAACTTATTTGCTTAAATRGATGTCATTTAAATAACACTACATAATATTATTCAATAGTACTCCATTTGTTTCTTCCTTTTTTAATTAAGACAACTAACAAAAGGACCAATATCTGCAGAAAACAGAAAAGGAAGATGTGAACTTAATATATGCCAAYTGAATGACAGAAACATCTGTATGATCTAATCTGTATGATCTATCCAATCTGTATGATGTACAGCAGGCAGAGGAACTAGTAAATCTACTTTACATATGCAAGGGAAAATATACACTGTTAAAGCGGTGGAATTTGTAGGGAGCAGGAAAGAACTTTGCAAGCTTACCTTGTCTTGGGGCAAAAAAATAAAGAAAGGGAAAAAAAACTACTCCTTGCCACAAGCTTTGGYGAACCTGCACAGTTGAAGAAACCAGGAGAGAAAAAGCAAGCAGGGAGCTAGCAGCCCAAGGCAGAACTGGAGGACTATGAGTAGATAAGCTCGTTCAACACAGAGGAGATTCAAATCCAAATTCAGACACGAGGGAAAGGATAAAACTGAAAATGAGAAGAGATTCTGATCTCTTTCAACCCCAAAATCCTGGGAGTTGAAGAAAGGACAGCTGCTTCCCAGGAGGAAGGTGGTTTGTTTTCAGTCCTTCAGTCTCGGGCACTGTCGTGCCCAGCCCTTGTGAGTTCCCCCRATTATCCTAGAACTGAACAGGCTATAGTCAAACAGTAAGACTTACTACCACCGCCTGTTAAGAAGAAAGTCAGAGAGAAGTCATCTTCTTCAATCATTTTCCATATTCTAACCCCTAACAACACCTCTAACTCAGCCCTTCCCATCACTCAGAAATAGCCCTCGCCTTTCAAGGTGTCTCAACCCAGCACAAAACTGAAGAATGGCCTGGCTAGTTCATAGCCATCCCGTCCAACACCCTGTGTCAACAGCAGATGCCAAGAGAAGGGCATGCAAGCAGGGTAAGGACACAGCAATACTTCTCCAGAACAATCTCTCAGCCTGCAGTGAGTCGCAGCTTTAATTCTGCCCCATCTTGCAATTATTTTTAGGGTTTGGTAACGTTGTTTTAGAGACCAGCAGCCTTCCATAGTCTTTTGCTCACTTCAAAGAAAACGGGAAGGTGCAGGCTCGCCCCGGAAAGCTCCTGCTYGTTCTGGATCCCATCATAACTCTAGTGAGGAACAGTGATACTCAAAGAGATTAAAATGGCACTGCTGCAAAACAGAAATCATGGAAGATGTGGACTGCTCCATACATGTCCTAAAAGCCACCTTCCATCTTTTCAAGGCCAGTATTAAGGCTTTTGCTGCTGGTATCACAGCTTTCAGCAAAGCAGCATGTAAAATAAGGCAAAAAAAGCTCTTAGAATCATAAATGCTAAAATGTTATAAGCAATGCATAGAAGAGAGGTAGTAAGAGAAAAAATTACAATCTGAATTATATATTAAAAAAACTCTGCATTCTGTAATAGATACTATTTTTTCCTTTTTTTTTTTAAAAAAAAGTTTTTGTTGGAGTTTACAAATGACCATATATTATCTTCATATGTCTTGCCTATGTTAGGTCAGACAGGTTTAAGTGGGAAACAAATTCAGAAATCAAGAATTAAAAAAAGGAATTAAAAACAAAAAGGCCAATACTGATTTTTCAATAGCTTCTCAAATCTTTAAAAGTAATGAAAACTTTAGAGAATCATTTGCACTCAATTACAGTCACTGTGCATCTACCATTTTAAAGTGGTGTAAACACAGATATAAACCCTTGACAGAAGAATTCAGCTTTTTAAAATGCTAGTGCTACCTTTAAGTTATGACATTCTTTATAAAACTGGTTTATTTGCCAAACAAAATAGTTGGTGGTTTGAACCAGAGGTCTCACGGATGTCTATGGAAGCTGCTTAGGGAGAAAACACTTCTGACAGTGTCACATGCCAACACATCCAGTGAAAGAAATCCATTTTTAAGAAAACATTTACAGAAGGTCACTGTTGAAGAGATTTTATTTTCTTCAGCTCAGCGAGGGACCTCTTATTCATGCTTAGATTACTCCTTACTGGGATATGGAAAGCTTTATCTGCGATTTATCATCAAATTGTGTGAATTATCCAATTACATATCTTACTTCTCTGGACTCTTCTTTAAGGAGGCCACTTCCATAAACAGTAATTTGTTCCACCTAAACCAATTTATTTTATACCAAAAAGAAAGGTATAGCAGACATTTTCCAAGCAAGTTCATTCTTTGAGCTGCTGACACATTCTAAAACAATGAAAATTTTTTAGGCTTTTGTATACAATAACCCACCATTACACAACAAAWAACTGCTGTAACTTCTTCAAACTGAATTTTAACCATCCCTTTTTAAAGCCTCCTGCACTGCTGGGCTTCAAAAGCCTTGTGAAAGGTGGCATTTTGCCATTGCCATTCAGAGGGAATAAGCACACACTTGTTATTCCATTTTCAATTACAAATTACAGTCAAGTGTAGCACACAAGCACAGCACAACAAAACATTTTCATTTGCACACACAAAAAATAAATCAATAGTYGAAAAATCTTTTAAAATCTTTAAATCTTTAAAATATATGAATATTTTAGAGAGAATACTGTACTCCAAAAGCTATTGGATTTTAAATTCTACCACAGCATTAGCAGAYTCACAGCACTTCATTAATGTGTTCAATTAAGACAGTCACCACATTTGACTATTTCTGTGCTTAAACATATATTTAAACAATTCATCAGGCCATGACTGGAACAATTAGTGTCTGCAGCAATTAGCTATCTAGTGAGAACCATCTGATGTCCAAGGCACACRGCAAGCTGAGCACTGTGATTTTTTTAGCTCTTATTTTTGCTTCTCTTTCCTTCTACTGCTGCTTTCTCCCACTTATTTTAGGTACTTTGCTTCAGCTTTCTTCCTTTCTCCCTTCTCCCCGTGACCTGCCCCATCCTGATCTCTTAAATGGATCCTAACCCTCCTCATCTGCCTTGTCAGGATTTATCCCTCTTCCAGACCATTTGCCTTCTTCTACTGGTCTGATCTCACCTCTCTGTCGCTGTGAAGCTGTGAATCTCTTTCATTGCACAGCTAGCACCACCAGCAGCCAGGGGAACCACAAGTGACACTGGCCACCATGAGCATGGTATGGGTACTGGGAACTACAGGAATTGTCCTGTCTGAAATTGTCAATGTATTTGCTCGATGCACTGGACAGACTTGGGGCAGGCCTTTGACCTTTCCAAACAGCTTTCTTCCCTCTTTGTCTCATGTAATCATGATGTTTATTTGCATCAAGCCTTATGATAATCTATGAAAGAGGCACAAAAGGCTCYGATCTTGATAGGAAAGCTTGCACAGAATGTTCTTTTAAATGGATCCCACCTGGTTAAAGCATGGGCTGACTTGCAACCCTACTTGCAGGTCTTTGGGGAGGAGAGGAATATACAGTACAGCAGCCAGATAACTGCGGGACACAGAATGTGCTTTCTGTGCTACCTGTCCTAATGAGGTGGGATGCATCAGTCCTATATGTGAGATATCTATGTCATATACCAGTCTAACCCATGTGAAAAAAAAAGTCACCATTATTTTCTTGCCAGTTCAAAGCAGAGAGAGTTGTGTTATGGAACTACAGAGTATTTTGGAATATAARTATTTTGCATGATTAGCCTAGTGTTGGAAAAGAAATATGAAATATGGGGCAACTAAATTAGTATATGAACATATGTATTTAAATTTCTTTTTAAGTGCAAAAGCTCTGATTCATTCTCCCATAACACACTCGAAAAATTCAAAGAAAAGGGTGTAATCTGTGCTTACAAAATTTCTTCATATGCAGCCACTGTGCTAGTGAGAGCAAGTCACCTTCAGAAATGATTACATCATTTATTACTGTGTAAATAAGTACATCTTACTCATGTTTTCTTCGTCGTCTGCATCCATGGTGAAATACTTTTGCTGGTTTCTTGGCTGGCGGAGACTGCTTCTGTCTGGAAAATAGAGCAGGGTTTAAGCTGTAACATCCCAACATACAAGCTCAAGTGATAAACCTCCTTTAGCATCTTCAGGTCTGGGCACTGCCTTTGCCCTGGGCTGCCCATATGCTTCTCTCACAAACAGCTCAGGTTTTGCAGAGCCTTTTCCATATTTCTGTATTTTCATATATCTGCAGCTGAGATGCAGTCTGCAGAACTGCTAATTCTGTGACTTTTGCAAGCATTTTTTGTGGATTTTTTTTTTTTTTTTTCTGCGGCAGACCACAATATTTTTAACCAGAAAGCATATATGCAGCCACATCTCAGAAGCAGAACCCTACACAAACCGCATTCTCCCTCTGCGGCGACAACTTCTCTTTAACAACTATTGCAGACAACTTCTAGAGTCAGCAGTTTGCTTGTGACAGCAAGTTTACACCTGGTGAGACGAAGAAACGCTCTTCCCGCAGCGAACCAGCGGGACGTCTCAAGGTAAAGCCAATGTCAAACTCACACTGCACATAAAAAACACAGTTTGAGCAGCTGATACACTCCAGATGCAGTTCATTTATCCAGCACTGTTCTGATGAACATCTGTCTGGCTTGGTCTGGCCTGGGTTGGTAGGGGCCTTTTTTTCTTTTTTCTCTCTAGAAAGTGAACCAAGCACAAAAACAGGGAAGACCAAGTTGCATCTGCCTCTTAGCAGCCCTGAAGCAGTAGGGTAATAGTAGGTAAGTCCTATACTCTGCATTACATCATTGCTCTTTTTAAGACACGTTTTCATGAGCAACACTRTCGCTCTGGCAGCCTCTTCAGCATTTTGAAGACTGCCTAAGTCCTRCAGCTGCTGTTTAATCACACTGTGGTCCTCTGTCCTTCTCTCAAGGCCTTTGAGCCTTCAGCTCATCCCCTACACATCACCTACAAACACCCTATTCTCCTAGCACCCTCTCAGCTAATCTCCCCATTTCTGTGTAGAGTTTTTCTTTGAAATCAGGCACTATTTTGGTGGATTTGGGGAGGGCTTTGATCACTCCTGCAAGGATTTGCTTCAAGCTATAGCATGATCTCTGGTGCACGACAGCTCTGATCAGTACATTTCGCACTAGCTTTTTTTCCCGTTTCAAGTGGGAAATACTATTAGCATTAAAACACTACTGAGCTTTAGCTGGTTACAAAGAAACGTTTATGAAAGCATTCAAGCTGTTCTTGAGTCAAGGACTGCCAGAAGTAACCAACAAACCACTCGCTTCAGTATCTTAGTTGCCACTTTATGCTGACACTTCATGCACAGCAAATCCAGGTCCACACGTTGACTTGTTTTGCTAACAAAAACAAACTAAACTTTGCTAATGCTGAAAAAAGAAAACTACTGATGAAAACAAAAGGACTTGCATCCAAGAACGAAAGAGGGTAATGTAGGGATGATAATATGTCGGGATGCTGAAACAAATAACATAGCTGACCAAGCAGTTGTACCACCCACTGGGATGGCAGACATCAAGTCCTCCTGCAGCATTTCATGTAGAGAGGCATCACTAGTCATCTCTGTAGTCAACTGTGTTGAGCCCCGGGTCTATAGATAAAACCCCCCCAAACGTCACCCCTGGCCTCCCCGAGATGAGTTTGTGACAGGATAACTGCAAGACTTGCACAGTCAAATGGTCACTTTAAGAAACAAGTTTAGTAAAATCGCAGCCAATGCCACGTGCGATTAAATGCAAAATTGAACGTGCAGATCAAACGTTTACAACCTTGTGACTCAGAAAGGAGTATCAGGTCCTGATAAAGTCAATAAAAATACAGTCAGCGTATTTGCCATGTTAACATCTATGCTAAATCAAATATTGTTACTTGATAACTAAAAATATTTTAAACCGCTACATTCTCAACCAAACAAATCCTCAGCAAGTAAATACTATTTGCGATCTTTATGGTTTACTTTTCACAGTAGGAATGAAAAAAAGCAAAATGTGCACTTAGCCATCATTAGACTAATTATTACTATGCCTTTAAGTGCAGGAGAAAGAAAAATATGCCTTACGTTTGTCACCATTTCGCATGCTACTTCAGTAATAAAACCCACATGTTGGGAGATTGTGATTATCCTAAATCTCCTATCAGCAACGTAAAATGTTTATGACCATTAAGTTTGTCGTTTGAGGAGCAAGTTCCTCCTTGCTCCTGCAAGAGGATTTCCATTTCACTCCCCAGCCCAGTTGGGAGAAGATACAGAATTAAGAAACAAGGARGTTTCTCCATAAACAAGGAGAGGAGACACAGTGCCAAAACAGGAAACATTTCTGCACTTCAGCTTCTAGCTTGAACTAAATTGTAGGCTTCACAGTGGTAATTTCTCCTCCTTACCCTTCTCATCGTGCACTTTGTGCACTACAGCTTCTCCCCACTGGTCCTTAACAAACTCCCTCTTTGTACGTAATTCCAGGAGACTTTCAGACCATCACTTCAAACCTAGGCAGAGATCCACATCCACAAACACATTCTCTACAGTTCTCTCCAGCAGTTCTGGTCTCCAGCATAAGCCACAAAAAACGTGTTCTACTGAGCAAAGATGACCAAAGGAATTATTATTTCGAACATCCACAAATCAAGAGAGCATGCATTTAAATGATGTTTAGGAATCATAAAAGCCTTTGGAACCATACAAATGGAAGCCAATCACAATTTAATTTATTTCTGTCTCGAGTCTTCAAAAGTCTCTGAGTTACATCCACACATTGAAAAAACTGCTGTATTAAATGGGATTGTGGCATCATCTCCACTGCTTAATACTGAAAGAAGCATCAGCTTTTTTGCAGATGAATACAAAAGAAATGACAAATTTAAAYATTCTTTGGTATTTAAATATTCTTTAGTAGTTTATTTGTTTTTTTAATGTTTTTCCTCCCTCCTTTCTTTCAGTATCACACATCCTCAGAGCTATTTTTGGCACAGGCAGGCACTGATGCTGCCRTCCATAGCAGCTGGGCAGGGACTTGGGACACAGCCTCCCTGTTCACCCCCTACCTGCTGCTCGTCTCCATCTGCCACCAGGTTCTCACCTCCCCAGAGCGAGGAGCCTGCTCTTTGCTCTCCGACTCCACAGCATCCCGTGCAAGGGCTCTTGTCACTGCCGGGCTCTTGAGCGTGACAGTAACACAAAACGACAGAGCATTTGGAAATGAAGAGCATTTGGACACCAAGGAAAACCTGTCAAGGAGGCAGAATCCACTCAGAGCAGGAGGCAGATGACTCCAGGCTCCTCAACCAACAGCAAGTATTACAGCAGTAACAAGATACTACCTAGGAACAAGGGATGAGTGAAAGAAGTGGGAAAGGAATGGAACAGTCTTCCCAGAGGCAGTTGTTGAAAATGCCTACAGGCTGGAGATGGCTGTTCTCAAATAACGTGTGCATGCCCACGTGCAGGCTGGGCRAGGAGGAGGACGGCAGGAGCAGAAGCCCTGTGTGCTCTCTGCTGCACACACGGAGGGGCAGAGACCGGAGCGTGGCATTGCTCCCGTCCCAGCTACAGAACTCGGAAAGGAGACGCCTCTTCCGAGAGGTGCCCCAGCACCTTTAAAAGATTAATCTTCCTGTCCTCACCCACTCAACTCCATGGAATTTTTTCCCTTGGTTTGTATAGTCAATTCAGGCCATAAAGGTTTCAAAGTGCTCCTCTGCACAGGAAAGGTCGCACTGAGAACAGCACTATCGCATGCTTTGAGAATTTGGGATTAGTGTTTCCAGAGAGAGAGGAATCTGAACCCAAGCTTCTCACTCCAAGAAACAGCTTCACCCCCTGCCCACGCACACTTGATCAGCCCAAAATCACCGACACCCCACCTGGGAGAAGGAGCTGGTGTTTCTGACTCCTTTGACCTTCCAAACTTGTATTAGAGCAGATTTTATAAAGCAGTAAAACTGCAATGATAGATAAAAACCTACTTACTACCCATGAATAACCTATTCAGTTGCAGATGTTCAGAAATCTCTCAGATCCTGCAGGTATAAAAATCTTTTCCCTGATTGAGAATTAGGGCTCCGTAATTTTTAGGGACATCCGACCAATGACAGATTCCGTAAATGATTCTACGGACACCGTGTACCTGCATCAAAGAGTGGATACGATCCAAATCCTATTCCTAATAACCTGTTCTAAACTCGGTTGACAACTGGAGTAACAGCCTTTGATAGCACTTGAAAAACTTGCATTTTGGAATAAGAGATGAGAATAATGGGGAAAAAAAAAAGATTAATTGGTGCTCAGAGACYACCGAGCTTTGAAAAGAGCAGCAATAGCAAACAACTGACGTAAATATTAATTGCTCAGTTACTTAACTAATTTGGGTCCAGACAGTCAGTGCATATACAGAACATTTTTTTTTTAGGGGAAAACAAAACCGAAAAAAAAAAAAAAACCTGTTGAAAAAGTCAGGTACTTGGAATAAAAAAAAAAAAAAAAAATCTCTTTTCTCTCAGATTTCCTCTTAAAATAAATACAGGATTTCACCCTACTGGTGTAGTAGAGGGGATTTTTTGATTTTTAAACACAATGTGACAAATCAAAACTCAACTGTTAGCTAAATACAATTACCACATCTAAGTGATCTGTATAGCAAGGCATCCTGTAATAAAGTAARAGCAGTATTACAAAAAAGGTAAAAAGCAACAATCCAAATCTCTTCCTTTTCCAAATGCATTACACACCAGGCATGCCAAATATGGGAAAAAGTCACATCTAAAAGCATGCTATTTCCCAATCTATATAAAGTAATAAAAACATTTCATAAGTTTACATTTAAAACATTTTCTGAAGCACCCTGTTCCCCACAGAGTATTTCCAAAGGCAGGAAAACACTAGAGGTACCAAATGCATCAGCTAACTCATCAGCATTTGGTTTTGTTTCCCCGAGTGACAACTCGGACTATTTTTAAGCAAATGTTTGAAAGAACAAAGATCACTGCACGAGTACAAACAGGRCTATAATTCATGTTTTGTTCATGCAAATAT